GGTGATTTGCAACGTCCTACCGCCAAGTACACACCAGAGATTCTCTCTAAAGTCTTTCAAATCCACCATGTGGAGCGGTTGAGTCTGTTCCCGTGCTCAGACGGCCGCTCACCGAGCAACCTTAACTATTGTTATGTAATCGTCAACCCACTCCAAGAAACTGCAGTGTTGTGGTATCATTGCTGCTGAAGATGGGAAGGCGCGAGTGGATTGGTTGCTCCTTTCCTTCCCCTCCCACCCTTTATCTCTTTTTAATCCTTTTCCAGACGATTGATTCAACACATTACATATGCAGCTAAGTGGGACCGGGTTGAAGTAGTGGTTTATTGTCTTTTTTTTTGCGCTGCTTAAATACGTAATTACTTCCCCAACTTCCTTTTTAGCGATTTTAAAGTCTCTCTTTCTTTTTCACTGTAGATACACAGAAGGAGATTAGCGAAGCTTTTTTGGTTTGCCGCTTGCGACGTGAAGACACAATGATACCTACAAAGCCGCTCTCCATCAGCCGTGAGGACTCCTCTTCAGATGACGAGCATCAACTGCACGAGCTCGACTCCGCTCTTCGGCCTCGTCGAGCCGCGCCAGTTTTAGTAGCTCCGTCGCCTTCGCGATCCTCTGCCGCCTACGGGAGTACTGAGGGCATTGATAAGCAATTGAGGAGTCCGTATGAGCCGGAATGCAAAGGTCCGCTTCCCCATTCTGAATTTATCGGCACCCAATCCGAGAACAGCGGCGAATATTGCGAAAGGGGTGGAGGCGGGCAAAGCCTCAACGGCGCCACCGTAGGGCGTGGTAGTGGTGGTGGTAGCCGATACGTATCAATGCTGCGTTTACCAAAGGTGCCTCGGGCCGAGGACGCAAACAAATCTTCCTCTTCTACTGTCTCCATGCTTCCCAATACCTCTACTGTTCTGCGTGCTGATCTGAATCGTCTTGGTGCGTCCCTCTCGCGTGTGGAAGAGCAATTGGAGCAGCAGCACGGCGCAATCAAGAATCTGAAAAAGAATAGTTCTGAATTCACGGAAAAACTGCCTGGAAAATTAGATGCTTTCAGAGGTGAGATT